TGAAAGAAGCTGTCTCAGGGCACATTTGCTGTTGCGCCGGCTGGTATGCAGCACACACATCTTAGCACAGGATTTTATTCTTCATTGATCCTGCATGTAAACCGCCTTAACGTTTTTCTTGTGCATCTGTCACGCAGGAACTTGGTTTGTGTGAACACTGTTGTTGTGACTGACTGACTCCATTTTGCACTCTGCTGAACTCCCTCTCTTCCGTGGAGAGCCATGTCAGTGCACAAACCCACAGAGCTAGTAAAAAACTGCACATACACACACACACACACACACACACACACACACACACACACACCTTTGACCTCGGGTGGAGTCAATGAGTTGGATCATCATATCTGTGTTTGCTTTTCCTGCGGTGTGCTTGGAGTGCAGGGCGTTGCTATATGATTTCTCAATCTCCTGGAACAGTTAAAAAAAGTATTCATATGAGATGGACAAAAGCAAAAGCCATGACAAACAAGAACCAATGCCTTCTCGCTGTTTGGTAACAGAGACTGGTGATAATATAACTATATCTCAGCCAGCTATTTTGCATCGGCCACATTAATCGCATCTGTACTTTATTGTATACAACACAGATGCTTCTTACTTTTCGTAACAGCGTTCATCGGGAACATCAGCGTGTAGATCTCTGTTGCAAGTTTTCCCCTCCTAAAGAGCAGGCTGTGCTGTTTACACACTGATCACACAAACACACACTGACACTTAGATGATAGCACAGCTGTGGTTTGGGGGGATTTTTTTTGCTGATCTGGAAACCAGCAGCACATTCTATCACAACTGAACATTGTGGTTGAATTTCAACAAAAAAAAACAGCACTTTTATAACTTCTACCTCCGTATTCTGTGTAGGACATCTTCATGTCCTTGGCAGACTGCTTATATATATATATATATCTGTCAACCAAAGCAGGACAATTTTGCCAAATCTTCATGCCCCTGAGTGAGTTCAACACATCCTCCATCATGGAGGACACACCAGGGCAGACATCTGCTTTGTGCGCTCACTGAGAAAATCAGATGAGCTGTACCTTCAATCTGTCCATCGCTCTAGCTTGGCCCCTTTCCTGCATGTACTGAACCTGGCACCCCTCCATTGGGCGTAATGGAGCTTGTAAGATTTTTCCACGTGATATCTCTGTAACATCAAGGCAGCCTGATGCTAATGCACGGCGGTACATGAGTAGATAATGTGCAGAATAAGATACAGGAATCATTTCTGGTGGACTCGGCTGGCACAGTCTTTATTGCTTAGGGAAGAAAAGATTTTAAGGGTCAGTGGTAGAGCGAATGACTTGTTAGGATGGATACTGTTTGCAGTGTGAGATCAGCAGATAAACAATCCCTGTATCTACCCCTGCGTCAGGAAAATATGAAGAAAAATGACATTAAATGGAGGCAAACAAATACATTTTGTCTTCATTTTGTTTTGTTGATGCCAGATGTGAATATAGTGAGATGAACAGCTGTAGCTGCTGCTGAAGAGCCAAGGAGACAGAAACCTGAACAAAGTCTGTGTTTATTTGACAGTAGACTGAATGCCTTGTGTTTTTTCCCCTAAAATTTATTTCCAAAAGTGCGTACATGTGAAGCTCAGTTTTCCAATAAGGATGGTGAATCACCTTAGAGAGGACACAATGAGCAATACAAAGTTATGAAATGCTGGGAAAATGTATGATTCCAATTTTTAACCCAGAAAGCTCAAAGGTTGAAGAATCTCAAGGGTCCAACTGTGATTAGCTGTTAAAATGGGGATTTTCTTTACCAGAGATAAACAGTAAAAGTTTTTACATCTGGAAAGAGCTTAAAGTATTTTGGCTCACTGGAAGGTACTAGCTCTCGTCTGGCTGTAATAGAAACGTTAAGATGGGACCTAAAGTATTTTTATAAGGAATGAGCTCCACACTATATTTTTTCAGATGAAAAGGTGAAAGCATATCCCTGTTTGGTCATTGGCTATTAGCCATGCCATGGTATGAGGAGAATTGTATTGACCAAACCCACTCTGCACAGGCAACCTAACAACACCTTAGTGTCATTAATGTTCAGTAACAACACACACTCTCAGGCATTAGCAGGCCGCATAAACTCCAAATGTTTCATCTGAATAACAGCAGCAGCACCGCTGCCAGCCTCAGTAAATGAATGAGAAGTTCACTCATTTATAGAGTATAAATACTATCAATGGGAGCTTGGCCTGTAGCCACTAAGAAGGTGTTAGAAAATTGAAGCAGAGTCCTGCGAGAGAATGCAGGCTTCCCCTCAAACATGTCGGCTTCAAAGAGAAACAGATAATTGGAAACATAACTGTGAGGGGAAAACGGCAGGAACAATGTGGCCCTCCCCACTCTGAATTCACATCAAGAGCATTATGGTTTACCTCAGCATGCTGCACAGTTTTTATACTCATTTTAGACTCCACATGAAATGGTATTTGAGTTGGAAAGAGATGTTTTTTCTTATGTTTCCTTATGTTATGTTTAAGACTATATTAATTTCAAAGTTTTCAGTTGTTTATATCTCACAATTGCCCTCTATTATAGCACCAGTGATTCTGCTTGAAAGAATAGTTGGACATTTTGGGGAAAAAAACACTTCAGTCTTGCTGAGAAGATTGATACCGCTCTCATGTCTGTGCTGAATATGAAGCCACAGCCAGCTGCCCGTTAGCTTAGCTTAGCATCAAGAGGGGAAACGGGACAGTTAGCCTGGCTCTGTTCAAATGTAACAAAATCAGAATACCTCGTTTTCGTCTTGACTCATTGATGCAAATTTGACAACTGGACCTTTTGTGTAGTCCAATTTATTCGCCTGCAGACAGTCAGTGCACCACCTAGGGCTGAACGATTTTGGAAAATAATCTAATTGATATTTTTTACCAATATTGCAATTGCGGTTTAATATGCGATTAATTTTTAAGCTCTTTACCTCCTGTATACACGTCTTTCTATTGTGTATTTCTCCTGTCAGTCAAAGCGGTGGGTGGTCCTACGATTTCACCTACCACCACCAAGTTACCAGAGGTGGCGGGTGATACTTTCATTCCCTGTGTGACGCTAAACTTTCTATAGTGTCATCTTCTGTCAAGCATAGGGCCATTGTACAAAAACATGTCAAGGTACAGGTTAACATGCGAAGTTGATGCTTAGTCTGCAGACTGCTTTACTCTTCTGTGTCATGTGACCAGAGTGTAATCGCAGCCTTGGCGATTAGAAAATCTCGTCATATCGCGATAATATCGCAAATGCAATTAGCCTAATCGTTCAGCCCTAGAATCACCTGTACAAATGTTAGCTGAAAGCAAGCTGTCAACAAGGCACCAGAACTTCAGTTCTTTATGTCACATCACAGCTCCAGCAAGTCAGTCCTCATAGACTACCATGTTAAAATGCCCAACTTTATAGCATGGTACAAAAAATGGTTTTGGTCTTTATAGCTATAGTAAACTTAGATTAATAAACTCACCCGTTTAAATTGTATTTATGCTTTAGAGCATGGTTGCTTTGAAACACAGATGAATCACAGGTGATTTCTCCCTTTATCTAATCAAGCTGTGCACTAATCAGCTGTTGGCTGTATCTTCATGGTTAATGTCTAGACATAGGAGTGCTTTTGATCTTTTCATTTAATATCGGCAGCAATGTTAGCATATTTGTCAAACTATTCCTTTAACATCTAATATTACAGTTTATTGCTCCTTTAGTAGGCAATCAGTGTTTAAATGCATTGCTGTCTTCATTAGGTTGAACTTCATATCTTCATATCTGTCATTGAAAAAAATGCTCCTTTTGAAATGGTTTATAAAGCATATGATCCACTTTGTTATGGTTTCAAAATGCTTGTTTGCTATTAGAAACTTAGATCACACACATATGCGTCTTTTCTGTTTTCAGGACCTGAGCCTGACCTGCGGCCTCGAGCGGTGCGTTCAAGTGCCTGTCAGGAGCACAAAACCCTTCATGACCGCATGGATATAGTGGAGAAGGTGCTTTTTCCAAACCAACCTCACATTCAGCCCTCAGTGGTTTAATACCATGAGGATTCTGGATGTTGTTACCGTGGTGCTGTCAACTACATTATTAAATGTTAGCTTTCTCTCCATCTAGGCTGCCCAAACAATGCTCAGCATTTCCTTTCTAGGCTAACATGTTGACAAAGCTGTGGCCACATCCACAGTCACTTACTGTGCAAATCACCATGATTTATCCTATTTTTCCAAATCGCTGATGACTCACTCAAAGTCTCATCTCATCTGAAAAACCCCACACTTACTTTGACTCTACCTTACTAGCTGTTTTGGGCAACTGTTTTATTCATATGAATAAGTGATTGCATTATTCATGAGTGATGATTCTATTATTCATACTACAACTTATTAATGTATTATTCATAAGTCAACCACACAACGATGTCTTTCTGCCTCCTGCAGAAAGTGGAGGACACAGTTGAGAAGTTGGAAGTTGAGCTGGCTGCCCTCCTGGATGCCATTGAAGCTCCGAGCTGGCGCCCCCTCTTGGACAATCCAGGAAAGACAGTGGTCGATATCCTGGAAGACCCAGGGCAGAGGGGCCAGTAGTAAACATCCATGGAAGAGGGACTCAAGAAGACTCTTGAATTCAGACTTTGTAGGATTAAATTGGTTTCCATGACTCAAATTTTTTTAAACAATTTTTTAAAACTGCGTATATGCACTTCATCTGTATATCAAAATGATTTTTTTTAACTTAAGAGGAGGCACAAGGCCAAGCTTGTCTGCATTTTTTACTCTTACTAATCCAGTGATAGATTTCAGTCCTAGATTCTTCCCCCTGCAGTCAATCATGGCACAGCTCATGTTTACAATGCTATTCAAAGAGATGCAGTCACTTTGGATGTCTCTGCTCAGTCCATTTATACCCCCGCTCTTCATTGCCCTCTGCTGTCTGCAGACAAACTGTGCCTTTAATGCTGTACTTGAGTGGAAGTGACAAAGACGAAGAGACACCAAATAACTGGAAGGAGATTTATTTCTTTATCAAAGCAGTTAAAGCAGCATTTTTTTAAACACATGGAGCAGTTTTAGTTGGTAGTTCAGTAACAAGGCTTTTCACTGATTCCCCGTAAAAATCCTGCAGCACAAGAACATTATGCAAAATAGGATCACAAGAAGGAGAAGAGTGGCATAAATCCCATGACCTTCTTGATTTGTTTTCTCAACAGGGCACTGAGTTTCAAACCGTATCCACAGAGTTAAGACATCTACAGTATGGTATGACTCGAGAGCATCCATCAAAAAAACAGTTGAATAGGAGACATGCTGTTGCTGGTGAAACACTAACACAATGGCTTTTTTGAAACACCTAATGGCATTCTGAACGTTAACACGTTAGGAGGGTTTGCACACATGGCCCAATTACGAATGATCACTGATATCAAGGAAATGCCACAACTGTAGATTAGCATTGTAACTTAAGCTACACTTAAATTAACTGTCAAAATCAGTCATTATCCATTTACAAATGATTAACATTACACACCCAGTTCAGGCCTATGTTGATTCTGATAGTGTGTAGACGGATGTAATGAATTTAATAAATAACTGACCTTTCTTTTCCACAAATGGAGACATTCAGTGTTTTAATAATGCAGCAAATTCTGTGTCAGGGTGAAGTGAAAACCTGCCCCAATTCCAAATATTCTTCCTCTGCTGCACAGACAATAACGCAACACTTAACCCACAACAGAGCATCACACACAACTGTTGACCTCATTCCACTCATCCAGCAAGGGTACGAGCCTGTATACTGTACTTGACCAAAGCATTAAGACAATCTACAGGATGCCAAAAGGTACTGCATATCATCTAAAAGTATCATGCCGTCCATATAACACTGGAATTATACGATTTATACAGTTTAAGGTTCACAAAACTCACTGTCCAGAAACATTAATGCAGACCAGTTATACTCAGATTTGGACTGTGTCTATAGTCATGTGAGCGCTGAGGTATGCTAGTGCCAAAAGCTTGTGCATGCACAAATCAGCCAGTAAGGCTCAAGCTCCAGGCTTTGGCAAAAACAAGCTTATACTGTAAAAGGTACATGCAAAGAAGCACAGGGCTTGAGACTGTTAAGTTCATCATATATTTTGGCAGACTTGTTAGATGCCACTTTACATCCCTTTAAAGAAGCTCCTTAATCTATTCATTATGTATAGTTTAAAGAAATAGTTCAACATTAAAGGAAATACGCTTATTTACTTTCTTTCTGAGGGTGAGGGTGACTGATAACGCTCCCACGCCTTTGTGCTTAGTATGAAGCTGCAGCTAGGAGGCAATAAGCCTAGCTTAGCATAAAGACTGGAAACAGCCAGGAGAAGACGAGGGGCACATGGCCGACAGAGCCAAGCTAGGACTGTTGCTAGCAAGCTAATCTGCTAGCATGTTCACTGGCAGCCCACCACCACTGGCTGACTGTAGGAAAATTATTACCACTGTTGGGCAAGTTATTTGAAATGTAAGCAATTATTAATTTCATATTACTGATTCAAAAAAATAATCCACCAATTACTCAACAGCAATAAAGTGGTAAGTTACATTACTTGTTACTGTTAAAGCACAGTTAAAGGAGCCTTCCAACAACTCCAGACCAACACATCAAATATTCTCAATTTAACACCTGCAGAAATAGCAAATGAGACAGTACTGACCATCAACAGGTGCCTTGCAGAACAGTTGATTCCTGAATGTGGATTTACCAGTGGCTAACTAGTAATCAAGCCAGCTAAGAGCACACAACATGTTGATAAGACAACTTTGGAATTTAAGACGTTCACCTCTTTTGGTAGAAGCTAACTGCTTCACCACACTATCTAACTTATGTAGGCTTCTGAAGGCATTCTTAACTAGTTTTCAAAACAGTTTAACAATACGTGTAGGCCAGCTAGTGAGAACAGCAAGTTAATATAGCCTACTGATGCCTTTCGCTGCCTGCGTCTTTCATGTGACTAGCATTTTGCGTCATTTAGTCTCCTGAAGGTCAGCATCCACCTACCACAGGTCTAAAGCTGACAAACAAATACTCTGTATCTCATCTACAAATCCAAACTGTAATTTGTGGTTTAAGAGGAATACCTTGACGAACAATACTTTTTCCATCCACCCAAGGACTTCTGTTTGTGAATGGATTAAACACACAAGAGTTAATTAGAAAGCTTCAGGTGGTGCTGGTAAGTGTATTTTTGAACTTTGGACAGAAAACCAGGCTAACTGCTTTCCTCTGCTTCAGTTCCTCTTGGCCCCAGCTCTGTACTTAACGCACAAACATGGAGTGGTGGTCAGTCTCTCATTTAATCCTTGTAAAGACAGCAAATTGGTGTATTTCCCAAAATGTCAAACTATTACTTTAAGCCCACCCTCCATCTGAAATAGATACTTTATACATAATCACAATATGATTGTATAAATGATAGCATTTTCACTTGCAGAAGGAACACTGACTTAATGTTATACTGGGAAAAAGAGAGACATACACTCATACACTCAAAGTTCCTTAGAAATGGTTATGCAAATGGTAGAAAAGCTTTGGCATATTTTGCCTACAAGTTGTGCCTGCACACTTGGAAAGAAGAGCAGAATGAAGCAGCACTAAGCTTCATAGAGCTCTTCCTTTAGTTTATATGTTGAGTTCAGAGTCCCACATAAAACTGTGGTGAGTTTAATTACCTACATTGTTTGCTATTTACATGGTTTTCATGTTATTAGGCCTTAGGGTTTTAAGGTGGACCTTTGCTACATGTTCCCAGGTGTTCAGACTGAGATTAATGGTGCCACCTTATATGTATTTCTATCACTATGACAGTAATAGACTAGCTCATCTATACGATTTGAAGTACCAACAGGGCACAGCTACACATTTAAGTACAGCCCCAAAACAAGCTCTACAGGGAGATGATCTTTATACTAACCAAGCACTTAAAAAGATTATGATGTCTAATGAAGTAGAGCTTTCTAATTGATTCTTAAAAGATGGGATTGGTGATTGGTGTCTATTCCCTAGAGCAGAGTTTCTGAATGCTCCTTGAATCAGAGCATGGTGCAAAATGGGCTAAAATACTACATCTTGGTAACCATTACAGACACAGTGACAAGTAAAACCTTTCATTCTGATTGCTGTACTGATTTCCCATAAATTACAGTACCTTATCGTCCTAAAAAAAAGCCTGGAAAAAGAACAGTTAGCTAACACTTAAATATGAAAATCAAACTAGCATTCGGACCTATAATGCATCCATGGCAACAATGTGATTAATGAATACTGATAATAATCAACAGGCACCGCTTCAAACAGATTTACAACATGAAATCAGCCGACTGAAATCAGCCATGAACACTAACTGTAAATGTTTCTCGGAGAGGTGTTTTAACAGAAGGAAGGTGCTACAGGAGAAAATGAAAAACAATTGTTCTGAATTAGGGCACACCTTACATGAAAGAGGCTGAGGGGAAGAGCGAAGACAAGGCAATAACATAAACTGAGTGCCTGCGCACGCTGAATAATTCAGTCGTTCCCATCAGAATTTGAACAGAAAGGCTGAGAGGGGAGGCGTCTACACCAAAACCACCAACCCCCCTAAAACCATGGACTACTATTACTCGGGATGTCATCATGCATGTGGAGCTTTCTGCTCATGAACAACACCTCCTAGTAAGTGATACCTTATTTGTCATGCTATACTGTAACATTGCATAGAAGTTAGAGTTTACTCTAGGGGCAGATTGGTAAAGTAGGTGGGGACTCTCTGGAAATCTGCTTCATTCATGCCTTACCGGAAGGATGCTACAGAAAAAAAAAAGGAGGAGCGATGATGGGAGCCATTTTGGGTCCTGCTGTGCGTCAAGGTGCCCTGCTGTGTGTTTCCTCCGCTCCTTGCTACAACAGAGGAGAGAGGTGAGGATGTATCTATTGGCATGGCACAAACACTGCAGTGGCCAGAGAGACCTGAGATCGTCTCTGTGAGGCGCTAGCAGCTGCCGGGGGAGGAGCAGACCGAGCCGCACATGCTCAGTTTGGAGGAGGACTCAGGCTCCGGCTCGGGATCAGGATCAGGATCTGGTTCTGGCTCAGGTGCGTCATCATCGGTGGCCCCTGCTTCGGCCTCTCCGTCCCCGTCTCCACTGGCATCATCGCCCCCGGCCTCTGACTGACCCTCCTCCTGACGCCTTTTCAACCTGAGACAGAAGGAGAAACACATACATTATTATAGAACGTGCATTAATATGTACAGTATATGCATACATGCACATATGTAAAGCTCTTAATCTGATTCTAATTTGAACCTTAAACCACTCCTGGCAAACTGTTTTTCTGAGTATGTTCCTTATTTTTCTAATCTTGCCAGCAGATTTGGTCCTCAGGAAAGTAGTAGAATTAAACACAAGCAGAATGAAATAGCTAGTAGTTTAATGTAATGACTGGCCTAGGGTCTACTATATAGTGCTCGTCTCTGCTCTGCATAATTCTAGATGTTATGTCCTCCATTATAAATTGAAGTAGATTGCCATTAATTAGAGCAATAGGATATAAAAAGACATTTCCCAAACAGAAGGATTTCAGTAACGCTGCAGTGGCAGGACCTGGTCAATAATAAATGAAGCAATGATTTAGAGCAGAACTGAACCAATATTTCTCCCTTACATTGCAGAAAGGACACATATTCAATGATATATGGACCTCAGTCTTTACTTATAATGTAGTGTTTATATTTTACTGACATATACAAAACATTAGATGCATTGTATTTAACCACAGCAGGGTTGGTTCTTAAAAACCTTCTGTTACCTAGGATTTAGGCTATGGCTTTCCTACACCCGTAACTTTATCAAGATACACTGATTGCTCTACGGTTTTGTTTTACGGTGGATATCACTTAGTGCCTCTTCACATACTGGAGCTGATTCTTAACTTTCCTTATCTCCTGATGGTGTTCCCTCGGTGATAGCTCCACATTCATCCATGCTTTAGTCCCAGTCATGATTCAAATGTTCCAGCTCCAAGAACATTTCCGAAAAAATGTTTGCTATTTGTTTGTGAAGTTTAATTGGCAGTGGCAAGTCGCATTTTGATTGCCTTTGCATACTGCATGTATTTTACTTACTTACAAAACAGTTACATATGTTGATTTCTTGTATACTAACTTCAGAAAACAGTATACTATCAAGATATACTATAGTAAATACTTTATACAATTAGTGTGCAGTATGGAATTGGGACTAAGTAATGGTCATCCTGTGTGATGTGGGCATCTTTGGTTTTACCTTTGCACCTATTAGAGATGTTACTGCATTATGAGATCTCAGCACTCACTTTAGTGAGTACAATCTTATCATACCTGATAATAATAGATAGATGGCCACAGCCACAAAATAAGTTCTAATGATAGAGTTTTCTTTTTTTTTTTTACATTTAAGGGAAATGGTAGCAAATAAGTACGCAGTTCCAATATTAATGCAATGAGACAATAATATTATAGTCCTAACCTTGTTCTTTTGTTGAATGTGAATGTTAGGTGCATTTTTGTTATATTTTGCTTTTTTGCATTTGGTGCAGCAGGATGGTAAGTTTCTCTCTGTGTTGGTGCATCACTGTTGAATAACATCAGAAAACTTTGCCCATGTTGTAGATGGTCTGCTGCTCTTGTGTTCTCTTACTTCTCGCGGTTGAAGATCATAAACTCTTGCTGCACCACTTCAAGGCACTCCTGTAGGTAGTCATTCTCCTGCAGGCAAAACATCATCTACATCAGCATCACCTTCCACATCAACCTCGTTATCGTTATTAAGAAGCGCAGAGGGAATTTTACGTCAAGTTGAATCATGTCAACTGCATGGCCTCTGAGGTGAAAATGTCTTTTTCCTCATTTCCTTTTTCTCCTCCCTTGCTCTTTTTAAACAAATCATGAATTGTTTGTGAGCCCTCCTCAAATTGGATGTTTGGCCCGAGACAAAAATAGGAGCTCATATTTCCTAAAGCACTTGAGGCCATGACAACACCAGCGAAGGCTTCATAATTTAATAATCTTGGTAATAACGCAGTATGAGCACACACAAGCAAGCGCACACACATACAGACACAAAGTCTCATAACCCTTCTATTGTTAGAGGTACACACTCCTTGCACACGCTGATCAGTGCTGATAACACACACACAGGACGGACGTTAATAACACTGATGTCACGATGACTGTCTGACGGGAACAGACTGTTTCTAATAAATACAGAGGGGATATCTCCTGTCTGTGGTAAATCATTTCTTAATCAAATGTAACAAGGTAGAAGAGACAAAGAGACTCCAGGGCTGTAAATACAATATGATCCTGATTTCAGCACACATAGGAAACATCAGATGGTGTCCAGGCTTTCTCATGTGTTAATTGTATTTACTTTGTTTTAGAACTTTGACTGGTATACTGTACTGTAATATGCGTTTCCCCATTGTTCAGATTGGAATAAATAGTTTCCACCGACCATTATTTTCAGTATCAATTAATCATTAAGAGTTTAAAATGTTTTGTGCTTGATCAGTAACTTAAAGCAGTGGTTCTCGAACTTTTTCACATCAAGGACCTCTAAACTGACCGACTAAATTAGACCACAGACCCCCGTTTGATAAGTTTTTGTCCCAGGGTGCCCCATCTGATAGGATTTTAGCTTTTAGATGTTTGATTAAAGAAAGTGTATGAAACCCATGACCGAAATAGCCACACATTCTGTCACTGTGTTACATCTGGATGGAATTACTGTAAAAAAAAAAAAAAAAGAAAAGAAATGAAAAAAGACCTAGCAGCTAGGACCCCTGGGTGCCCTGAGACACCACTTTGAGAACCACAGACTTAAAGGAATAGTTCCACATTTTTGGAAATAAGCTTATTTGCTCCCTTGCTTTAGATAGATGAGAAGATAAATATCACTCTCACATCTTTAAGGTAAATATGTAGCTGGAGCTGCGTTAGTTTAGTTTAGCATAAAGACTTTAAACACCTTTAAAGCTCACCAATTCCTACATGGTGTCTCATCATCCCTTTACCCTAAGTATGTAAATGACAATTTACCATTTTTTCATGAGCCACATTTCAAAACAGATATGAGAGTGGTATTGATCTTCTAATCTAACTCTAAGCAAGAAAGCAAAAGTCTTTTCCAAAAATGTTGTACTATTCCTTAAATTTCAAAATCCTTTTGTTTTGGTATAATCTTTTTGGTGGTATAATATCCTGCTGTAATAGACTGCACCATCAGTATAGAGTCTCTAAATAAATCTAGACTCTGACAGTAATGGAGAGATTATTGCTTGTTTGGGAATATGTATGATCTCAAAAGATACAACAAATCAGCATACTTACAGGATGCCTGCAGCTAGCATGCTTGTACAGTAAGTCTCTCTTTATGTTCACTAGCACAGTGGTATTCATTTATCTGCTGAGCAGAGAACAGACATAATTCACAGCTGAGAAAAAAACAAAAGATGCTGGGATTTGGCTCACCTCCAATCTATAAATATACAGTTTTGATGGGAACTGACAGACCGGAGACCAAGGTAAACCTGAGCTGCATTGTTATCCAAGACTGGCCTGCCTCTTCACGTGTGCAGTATATAGGAGTAATACTCCTATGTGGTTATAATTTGCTCAGACACATGGACTAACTCCAATCTGATCTGCACAAGGCTTCAAAGATCAAATTAACAGGGAAACAGCACATCATCATATAAAGGAAAATAACCCTTACAAATGTGAAAAAGGATAAAGGATAAAAACAGCCCCTTCGATCATCATAGGAATAAAGGCCTTTAAACAGATGCAATGACATTGTGAATTCCACCTTCATCCTCAGTTACTAAATCATCCTCCTCAACAGAACATAATGCTTTTAATGCAGTTGAGTATTTTATCTCTTGTATCTAATACTAAAGTATGAAAAATGGAGCAGATTATTAGTTTATTTGAGAAACGTGAGCATCTCTTCTTAAAACACTTACATAAATGTACACACAAATTGCCTCACTCCTGCAGTGTTGGTTTTTAAGATGGCAATTTTTGTGTTTCTAGAATACTCCCTACCTTATTTGCAACTTGCTTTTTTATTGACTGTCTGGTTACATTTTTTAAACATTTTTCTCTGTTCTTTGTTCATATAATGTATTTTGAAATTATGCAGTATTAAACCAAATACCAAAATGTATTGAGCTCAGCGGCATTATAAGGAGGCACAGTTATTATATCCAAAAAACTACATAACCAGCAGCCCTCTGGATGATTTATCAGCCTATGCAGAGGACGACACACTCACAGACTGAGAATCCTTGCTGTTGTCTCGAGACCGGTTCTTGGCCAGCCTCTTCTTCTTCTTGTGAAGCGGGCGCGACTCCAGGATCATCTCCTCCAGCTCAAAGGTGGGGTCGCAGTGGAGGCGACCTTTCTGTAGGAGGGAGGTGCAGACGTGATAAATAGAAATACAAACACTTATTATAAATCAGCTGAGACTCAAAGCCTGCACTCAAAGAGTGCACAAATGCATAGTGCACACTGAAGTGAACAGGTGCACTGAATAACACAGATGAATGCACACACATGCACACAGTAATGTAATGTAAGTCCATGTGTACACACACTATAGTGAAATTGCTGCATTCAGTTTCCTTTGCATTATTTAGATGCTCATTATGATCAGCAAACGTGTGCCTATGCATGCTTTTAAGTGTTTATTATATGTATGTATGTGTGTGTGTGTGTGTTTGTGTGTGCGTCTGTGTTGTTAATATCTGATCGCTTCACACTAACATTAGGAACAAATCCAGCCTCCATCTTCTTCTCGAACACGGCATCCCAGTTGACATCAGCGAGGTAGGGAGATGTCTGCATGTCAGACAGGCTGGAGAAACGATGCTCTGGGTTCACTGTCAGTAGCTGGAAGGAAGGGACAGACACACGAACACACACACACACACACACACACACAGGAAAGTCACCTACATGTCACCTTCTGAGTAGCAATATCACCATCACAACTTCTCTCCTCACTCACAGCCAGGTTCTTCTCTCTGGGAGGTAAAATAACCTCAACATATCCTGGGTGAAAAATCCTTTTTATTGTGCAGCAGATTGAAAGACCAGTTCACAAAAAAAGATGTGTAGCCAGTGTGTGTGTATACACACACATACATAGTTTAGGGTGACCAGATGAGAATGGGTGAAATTCGGGACGGGGGGGAGTGGCTACCGGTACATTGAGTGTCAATGAACATTAACGCACGTGAAAATCAAAACACAATGCTTAAATTAATTATTTTTGTGCATGAAGTCACCTGTCGGTTATTAGGAAAAATACAACTGTGGATATGTAGGTAAGTCATGATCTTTTACTTAATTTATTTATTTTATTCATGTCAGCAGCGCAGTGTGACATTTGTCTGCGCAACGCGTGTGTCAGATCCCAGCCAGTTAGCCAGCTACTTAGATAGCATGAGCAGCCTTGTTAATCTAAGGCTTAACAAGGTTTAGTTTTTGTGTACTGTGTTTATTTGCAGTAGCAGCAAGCCGTTTGATTCAAAATTACTCAGGCATTTTTGTTGTCAGGAGCTGATAGGATTTACATTTTGTAGCAGTTGTTGAGCTAGCTCGCTTGACAATAATGAAAAGTAACATAAAATAAAACGTCACATGCATTAAATGTGTCACTGGGAATAATTCCATTATGACAATAAAAAACAGACCTGAAAAATTAATTAAATAATAAGTCCAATCCAGTAAAACCCTGTGACTAGAAAAGCATTTCATAGTGAGCTGAATAATTTATATATTAATTTACTTATCTTATACAATTTGATTTAATATCTTTATAATTGCCACCAAACTTCAACAGGAATACCAGATTAATGCAAGCTCTTACTGATATAGTAACCAAAAGGGGGCACTGTTCATCAAATCAGCCACTAGTCTGGTTTGAATCAAAATTGTTGCACCCGATCAAGACAAATGAACGCCACACGAGTGGAATCACATATTCTAAAGAGGAAATAAAACTTGGTGCTAATACTGTTGTGTTTTTATGGAATACCATCTGCTTCGTTTCCCTCCTCAGGGTGAACACTGGAAGTGCTAATGGGATGTGGCTTTAGTTGTCATGTTAACTCGCCTCCTTTGCTTTATTTTCTTCCTTTGGTCACAGGTTGATTCAGTTTTCTCCCGCAGGGCCGGTTGACTCGATGGAGTCCAGACATGGTAATCGATCAGCAGCAGAGCGGAAGAGACCAACGCTCCGTCCAGAACACTCAGACACACAACACATGCACGCACTCATGCGCACACTTGGAAAAAATATCCTTCTTAACAAGCCACGGTTTTTCATACTCACTCGAAAATCTAAATGACTAAAGAAATACTGAAAGAAGGGATGAGATCATTTGCTTCCAGCACAGTTCACTTGGTCAGATGACAACATGTTGACATAAAGCAGAATCAGGCAGACTATTATTACAGACACTGAGTCTTATTTAAGAAAATGTTGAGCAGATGTATTTCCATGTGATGCAAATGATCTCATCCAACTGGCAGATTTTCACTTATTAGTAAAGAACATTTCGAACTTCAATATGAAGATAAATTACTTGTCATGATGAATATTATAAGCAGCAATACCCTGGTTCACACACACACACACACACAGTCTCTTCTCTCACCCACTTGCACTGTTTCTGTGCTTCCATCCCTTAGATTCCCATCTGTCGTTTTTCTTCTCCTTTGCCCTGAGGGTCTCGGCTCATCCTCCCTCCCTCCAGCTCTAGCCCCCCTACAATACCTGCATCCTCTGTTCCTGGGGCTTCAGTGCTTTTTTACCTCAGTATATAATAGCACCTCTATAACCCTGCTCTGCTTCCCACCCGCTCCTCTTCCAGAGGGGTCAAAGCTCAATTAACTTTACTCTTTAAAATCATTAAATCAGAATATACTGCAATTTGCGTTTACAATATATATATCATATATATTTACAGTATGCTCAGGTTTTAACAAGCCACATATATGATTCTGCGTAACATTTTATTTATCATCAATTAATCTGCAGATTATTTTCTTGTTTAATACATTTGTTTATAAAATGTCACAAACCTGTGATAAATGATCTTTGCAATTTCCTGAAGTCCAATGTGTTGTTTTGAAATTGCCAGTATTAACTATTACACAAGACTACACAAAGCAACAAATCCTCACAGATGACAAGTTGGAAGTAGATAAAGTGCCAAGGATCTTTGCTCGTTTCAGCTGTGAAAAAGATTTTTATGATATTTGGGATATATAGGAAGAGATCAGTTTAGCCACCTAATGACATGAGGGTGCTGCAGTTAAAAGAAGTCAAAGCATCTGCACCATCAAAAAAAATTTAAACAAGATTATCAAGAGTGAGTAAATAGAGACTGGTAGGGGCATGTCCATCTGTGTTCATTAAATGTTAGCAGTTCTTAATCTAAGAGACATCTGCTTAAATGAAGGAGATGAATGTAAATGATGCCCCATTTTGACCAGCTCACCTTCCTCAAGAGAGAAACCAGGTCCTTGGGCCAGGCTGGGCTGTACTGGACACTGACTGTACTGAAGAGCTGAATCAGCGACTCCACTGAGTTACTGGCATGGATCTCATAGGGCCTCTGGAATGGAAACAGGATCACAAAAAGATACAAAATAGAAACATGAGGAAGAGTGAATGAATAGAGGGAACATAAAAACTCAAATTCCCATCATGCCTTACCCAGCCACGTAGCACTTCGAAGACTGTCACCCCTAGTGACCACCAGTCTACTTCAAAGGCGTAGCCCGTCCCTCCACTCACAAAAGACTGGAAGATCTCTGGGGCTGAAAGCACAAACAGAGAATCACTTCTGCAGCAGTTTTTCAAACCGCTGCCTGTACAAGCGGTTAGACTGCAAACAGTTTACTGTGTCACAGTAACCAGACTGTTATTTTAAATGTAACATATCTCCATTCTCCTAGGCCAACAGAGTACAACAACTTTTTCCGTATAACCTTGTTTTTGCCAAGTAAGGATATTTATTTCCACAAAGCAATCAGACCCCCCCCCCCCCGCTCCATGGTTGCAATTCAGCTGCTAAGCAAAGTTACCCATGTAGGGCTTTGTTCCAGCTAAGGCCGTGGCTCTCTCTCCATCCTTTATTATCGTTGCTATGTTGAAGTCAGTCAGGTGAGCGTGACCTGAGAAGAAGCAATCACAAAATCCATCTAAACAAAATCAATCCAAAATTGGGTAAATGCGTGTCTCTGATCACATACAAAGGAAACATTTCAAAGTATTTCTTTAAAAAATGAAACGGTGACAGCAAAATCTGACATTCCAGTAAACCTGATCCACGTGTATTAGTAGCTTGCAGGGTCATTTTTGTGTCCTATTTTGTCATGATGGACTCGATCTCACAGCTGTCTGTATACTCTGCACTCTGCACATAATAATCAAAACACAAGGTTTTGATTATTATGTACCTTCCACTTTTCCCTGATCTCACACTTAAAACATGACATGAAACATATACACTTACAGGTACTGTACTGCTACAGATACTCTATCAGAGCTTAAACTGAAAGGAGGCTTTATGGACATCCAGGATGCATATGTAACCTTTATTTAATCAGGTAATCTCATTGATATCAAGATCTGTTTTGCAAGAAAACTTGATTACAGCGGAAGAAATCAGAACAGAGATAAGACACGCAGCCAATCACACACAAGCACAACATCACACATTTCTAAAAAGGTCCTAAATTAAAAGGGAAATTCATCCAATGGGATGAGATGAAGAAGTATTAAAGCCTTTATCTTCCCAATCAGTATTTACTGGTGGGGTATGAATAGTTAGCCAGGCCTGGGATCTACTCTAATGAACAGTAATTTAAAATCTGAGATGAGATGTGGTATACTGAGGCAGCTATAAACAAAAATGTCGCAGTGATGGTGATTCGGAAATTATATAGTGGTTAACTGCATTAAGTTGTTTTAAGGTGGAATGTGTACGGATAGAAGAAAATGGATAAAACACATTAGCATGATGTAAAAGTTTAAGGTTCTGCAGACTGTAATCTAGATGGATTGAGGTGGAGAAGAGCCATGTGCATAACAGACTGAATGGGCCGAGCACAGAACCTGGTACCCCCTTGGTTATTAAAAGGAAGGCTGGTATGGGACCAAGAGTACTGTACAGCTCGCCTGTATACTATCAGACAAATATGAAGCATGAAACCACTTCTGACGAAAAAATCTGAATGTTTTTTTCTCTTCCTCTTCATGTAGGCTAAAATAAATGCTGAGTATTATTTACCCCCAACTGCTGCACACACACACACACACACACCGATACACAAAGCAAACACCCTTACCTTGCTCATCCAACAGGATGTTGTCTGGCTTGACATCTCTAAAGGGAACAATAACAGAAAAAAAAAACCTTAATACAGAAGAGCAACCCTAATCTAAACAAGTAAACATTGCAAACATTTGTCTGGTTTCCATCCAAATGTAGTGCAAATTTTAACCAAATTAAAATGCGTATCCATTCACTACTATAATTCAAATATTACCAGTTGGCCCCATCAAGACACAGGTGGTGGTGCCAATTCTCCAGTCACATGCCATTAAACCATTTCAGAATAAGAGGGTGCATGACGTAATTGAAAGGAAAATTTATGTAATTTAATGTAATTTTGAGGAACATTGGGAGTCTCCTTATCACTCCACATAGTTGTCGCATTTTGGTTTTATCGGTATATAACTTTTCCACCAAGCATTAAAACTTTGTAATATTTTGCCTTTTTTTTTTTATTTCCAATGTTTTCACTCAGTTTTGTTTATGCTTAAGTTGTTATTTCTATTGAAAATGGGCATAAAATAGGTGGATGGAAATACACTTATTGAATTGTTAGTTAGATAAAGTTAGATAAAGTATTTTGTTCCTATAATTCTCAGTTAAATCACAAACACACTGTCATATAGTTTGTCGTCAGATGGGAAAGACTGAGATTAGATGTGTGCAGTATGTGTGGATGTGAAAGTCTGTAGGAGGTGTTTGTAGGCTGATGTATGTGTGAATTCTATGTTGGTACAACATGTTAAGCTTGCGTATGTGTGTGTGTGTCAGTGAGAGAAAGAGGGAGAAAATTCCCCATTCCCTGCATATCAAATGTTGCCAGAGCCTATGAGAACACAACAATCAGCGATCCCCCTGGAGGATCCCGCAGATTTGTCTGCACGTGCTTATTACACTGGGCACCCATGCAACGGACACATTCAGGCACATCGACATTTCCTCCAAGCCCTCCACAGCCAATTAACGGAGTGCACACAGCTCATTTAATTATGCCACATGTCACACTGGTGTGGAGAATGCGCGCGGTCAGCAGAGAGCATCTACACTTCCCATAGGACGCATTTGTTCGCTGTGGCTATCCAATGCCAAGCTGATGCTAACATCTTCTGCCAAAACTCCTGAAGAGGAATGATGGAGGTGGTGGTGGGGCTCAGACTGATTCAGCAGTACAAGGCTGCAGGGAAATACATACATGTTCACAGAAGGAATCCTGATACGAGTGCCAGCAACAGCATCGCGCCATGTTGATTGATGTAAAAAAAATTCACTTGCCGTTGAATTCATTTTGCAGGAAGAACAGAAACCACCCTGAGATGAAACGGTACGTAAAGTGCAGGTGATCTGACAAGTTTTACTATGTTGAGTGTTTGATGAAGACGGATGAAGCAACCTGGTGGTCTGTGCAGAGAGGAAACAGAAAACAAAAGAGAGGAGAAGAGAAAGGAAAAAAGGACTCTCCACTATTACTTCCCTTCTTCTCATAGGACCAGTTTTACCTCCTTGGGCATGGTGGCAGATGACTGTTGCTAGGAGACCAGAGACCGTTCTTCCTTCAGTTGGTGCAACAAAATAATTGTATAGTATTCTCCTGTCAAAAACTTACAGGGTGGAACAAAATTGTAGCGCTGGGGACGGCCATGGATACCCAGGGATTGGATTACGGCTCTGCGAGCAGACACAATTGTGTCAAAGGCAGATACGGTTGTGATATCAAGGAGAGGGTGAAAAAACATTGGAGAATGATAAGCAGCGTCTGTCACTTAGATGTATTTCTAATGGCAGTTCCGTAGTGAAATGTGGGAGAGATACATAAGGGACTCGTGGAAATTATGATACACACACAAACAGCTTTATGTAAATACACATATGTAGGTATACACTAGTAGAAAGACATGTACATATGCAGTATTGTATATGATGCCTAATGTGTATATTATTTATGTACTAATGCTTGCATCTTGCTTTCAATATAAGCAAGTTACATTTCGGTAAATACACGTCACTTCGCTTTCTCGTCAGATGAGAGAGTTGATACCATTAACTATCGATGAGCCTTGATGGAGTTTGCCAGGCGAGATTCCAGGAAGTTACTGCTCCTAGCTAGGAAATAGTGAGAAAATGACAGACTCTATATTCTCTTGGTAACTAGGACTCCCTTTTTCAAATGCAAAGGCGTGGTCACTGAGTACATTGCTAGAAACACACACACACACACACACACACACACAGAAACAATATATTGTTGTCTGAAGGCAGAAATGGAGCCCCAAAGAGGTTTTGAACAAGGTTCAAACTGTTTTTCAGCCATCTGTGGCCCTAAAACAGCCGTCTGCAGGGATCCAGCTCTTTCACTTACTGGACTGCACAGACACATACGCTGCTCTCAGCATATTTGGACAAAAAGCTGCGGACAGCGAGTCCACCCTAGTTGAAGATGATGGATAGTAACAATTACGGGAACACACAAGAGCTATCTTTATAGATATAAAGTAATGTAAATAAAAAGAGGTATGCCCAAATGCCTAGATAAGATAATACCTTCAGCCCCCACCAAGACTGAATGAAAACTGTATGAAAAACAGTGTGCTTGTGTAAGGCTCCTGCTGCTTGGGTGGTAGATATTTATGTGTATTTATACTTAGCAGCTTAAAATAGTGCAAAACAGTACAGATGCACAGATTGCAATTTTCGTGGCAGATTACAATGACCTATTTTATAATAGTCTGACACGCCGATTCTGATTTGGGCGGATTCTGACACGCCGATTCTGATTTGGGCAGATTCCAGTTTTCTTTCTTTCTAAGAACTATAATTGACAGCATACACAAACATTTTTATAACTATTCTTTAATGGAAAATTATTTCTTTATTAGGATCCCCATTATCACCAGCACAAGCATTGGCTATTCTTCCTGGGGTACTGTAGCGGTTGCTGGTATTTAGCCAGTCACTCAGTCTGATAAAATAAAACATATAATAAAACAATACCTATTAAATAACTTCTACATTTTCTCCAAAACTGCACCAGGTCACAGGACGTTCTCTCACTCAAACACATCTCAAAAAGTAAAAAGTGCTCCAGGTGAGGCTACTGGACAGAGCTTTTATTACTTTATACTACTTTATAAAGTATATTTTATGTGAAATTAACTCTACTTAATTCTCCACCTTATGGCTGATCAACCTGAAAACCGAGAGGTCATACTTTCCAAAATAAAAGCATGAGTAACCCTTTCTACTATCCTTTCTAGGGATCCGGGCACCTTGCACTCCTTTGGAAGAATAATGCAGTGTCATCTGACAGAACGTGGTTCTAACCACTGAGATCAAAGTGGAGCAGGAGAGATAGGCCACTAGGACATGATGAAGGTGGCTGTAAACTTACATTTTTCCACACCTGCCTAAAACATTTGCACTGTACTTTATACACTTCAATGGGTGTATCTGGGAGTTTAATGTGTCTGTCTCTCTCTGATCTGCTGTTCTGAAGATTGAATAAAACCCCATAAAACAAGACACCTGGTCCCACACTGGGAGTGTCATTGTATTTAATATTGAAGTCATTTCATTCTGTGTAAACTTAAACCTCAAGGACCTAAAAGAATCCACGCTACCGTGACTTTTGTCAGCAAAAAGATCAATAAGTCATAATTTTGGAGGAAATAACAATTGAATAAAAAAAAGGTGATGATTAGAATTTTTGGCATTCATGGTAAATTAAAATTAAAGCTGCATTATCAATATTTTTCATTTAACAATCAAATGATTTAATGTGAAAGCAGTTGATCATAGTAGCAAACTCACAGAGAATTATCACCTGAACCTACCGTTTCCCTCAGCTCTGCATAGAGTTTTACAAAGATTCAGGAGTAAAATAGTTTAGTGACCAGTGTGAGTTGTGGAAAAGGAATTGAAGTTAAGTTTTTGAAGTTAAGTTTGTTGAAAGTCAACCACGGAGAATAATTGTGTTAAAGTTGGATCAATAAATCTTGAAGAACTGAATTGAAAGATTTCCATGATTGCTTATTCCTTTGTGGTGAATCGCAAATCTCCTCCAAAAAGATGTCAGTAAGAAGTAAAAAAACGAGTAAAGAATCGGCTCAAACAAGTCACTGAACTCCACTAAAGACTAAAGAAGGGAGCCGAAGGAGCAGCCGGAGGCTCCATAAGTAAAATCAGCTGCTTAGCCACAAAAGCCTTTAATTGATATGATAGAATGCAGTGATTAATTTGTGAAGTGATGTAAATTGCAAATAAAAATGTACAGAGTGGTGTTAAAGGATATCAGAAGATGAAACAAACGGAAAGCTAAGCTTGTGGCGATAAACTTGCAACAGTGATGTACATGCCTGAGACCGCAGCCGATGCTGAAACATCCAAGCACTATGCAGGCGAAAGAAAAAAAAAAGAGGCTGTGTTTGGCTGTGAGCAAAACCATAAAAATTATTTTTTTCCCCAATCTGGTTGCAAAAAGGATCAAATGCAGTACTTGTTTGACTGGAGAAGTTTCAATACTACTCGGTACTGGGCTGTTTTGGTCATACCTTAAAGGTATCAAGTACCGATACCCAGCTCTACTACCTGCACAGCACAAAGTAAACAACTAGCTGGTTAACATTGTCGGAGGAGATCTGATGGGAGGAAAAGAAAATGATGATCGAGTACCTATGGATGATGTGCTGGTTCTGCAGGTAGTCCAGCGCCAGTGTCATCTCACAGAGGTAGAGTTTGACAGCGTCCTCGCTGAACTGGACGCTCTGCTGCAGGTGGTAGCGGAGATCTCCTCCCAGAAGGAGGTCCACCACCATGAACATGTCCTCCTCATCCTGGAATGAGTACCTGGGACAAGGGGGGAGGACACAGTGCTCACTCACTGTCCAGTGTGGAAAGAAAAAACATGCTATTCAAACTGCTTCAGCAGAGAAACAACAAACACATAAAGGGACTTGTATGCTCTTGCATGCAGAACACAAAGTACATTATATTACATTACATTATGAGTTACATCTGCAGACACGCATGCATGTTTATAGAAACACAGGGGCACAAGCATGGTAGAAAGCCATATCTAAGTGCAACCACAGGAAAACATGCCCTATTTGTGCATCTCTGTCTTGTACCTACACTGTAAAAAAATATGTACTTTGACAGTTTAATTCCTTTTTATTTCACAGATTTTTCCTGTATTTTTGAAATACATGAAAATATCAAAAAAATTACAAAAATAAAATGTGAATGTAAAATAACATGAAAAACCTATAGCTGTGAATAACCATAACATTTCTGTTATCTTAAGGAAACTTTTGGGGTTTTTCACGTAAACAAACTGTTACAATACATTCAGGAGTTTCCCGTATTTTCACAAATATTATTTTTCTTATTTAAAAGAAAAAAGGGTTAAATTTAAGTTTAATACTGTAAAAACATTTCTTGTAAAAACAACTTGGTACAATTATTAGTAACAGTTAACTGTAACAAAAAACATTTGTTCTTGACATAGATTTTCTTGTTAATTTACAAATATCTCCTTTAATTATGGATATTTGGAAAATAAAACTGTCAAAACAGTTTTGATCATTGAAAACAGCCATAATTACTGTAATTTCACAGCTTTTGACTTTTATTATAATTGTTGGATTACAAGTTAGATTAACATAGTATATAATTGCCCCAAAGTGGTAAAATTACAATTATTGTTAAATTTAGTGGAGTTAAAAAAATAAAATTGTAAAATTACGGGTTTGTGATGAAAAATTCATTTTAATGCCATTTAACAGATACTTTGATTGAAGAGTCTTAGCAATAGAGCAATAGATGTATTATCAAAACCTAAAACAAACATATTTAAATCCTGTTTTTTCATAATTAAAAGGAAAAAATGTTCACATTTTCCATTAGAGTTATTAATCTATATATATCCATTTATTCTATAATAGAGACCAGAAACCCATTTTGAGTTATCTTGTACAAGGGTTATGGTAGGGTTGTGACAGTTTCTGACTTTCTTAAATTTACTTAATTTGAGGAAACTCAGACATTGACATCTACATTTATTCATTTAGCTGACGCATTTATCCAAAGCGATTTACAATTGAGGTCACACACCTCTGGAGCAACTAGGGGTTAAGTGTCTTGCTCAGGGACACAATGGTGGATGTGTCACAGTGGGGTATTGAACCCGGGTCTCTCACACTAAAGGCATGTGTCTTATCCATTGACCTTTTAAAGTACCACCACGATACAAATTCCCACATCTGATACTATTTATAGATTTATTCAGTTCCATGCTCGCAACAAATAAGCCACACAAGTCAAACATTTCAGTGTAAAGAATTGTTCTCCTGAAACAAAAGTAGTTTAGTTTTTATTTACCTGATTGATGACATTTTCAGATCTATTCATTATAAACCCATTTGGGTCAACATAAAGAATATTTTGGATACTGATAGAAACAACTCCAAGATTAAAGTGCAATCTGAATGTAAAATAATTGGAAAGTATTTCTTAAAATGGGACTGTACAGAGACATGAAAGGCAAAGAGAGGGGAAAATGGTGGTTTTACATACAGTGAACTTAATGAACTTAATGCACAAACCAAAGACTTCTTCCCTGGTTTCAATATGATATTTTATGATTTTCTAAAGCCAGTTTTTGTACTAAGTGGAAGCAATTTGGAACAACAAAAAACTCAGCCTTGAAGTGGTAGGCTTCATAAAATCACAGAGCGGGGTCGGCACATCTGCAGAAGCTGCCAACTTTCTGCAAAGTCAAGAGCTACAGACCTCCAAACGTCGTGCGGCCTTCAGATCGCTCTAGAACAGTGCGTAGAGAGCTTCATGGAATGGGTTTCCATGGCCTAGCAGCTGCATCCAAGCCTTACATCACCAAGTGCAAAGCAAAGCGTCGGATACGTGGTGAAAAGCACGCCACCACAAGGAGTGACGAATCACACTTCTCTGTCTGGCAATATGATGGATAAGTCTGAGTTTGGCAGTTGCCAAGAGAATGGCACTGGCCTGACTGCATTGTGCCAACTGTGTAAAGTTTGCTGTGGGGATGTTTTTCAGGTGTTGGGCTTGGCCCCTTAGTTCCAGTGAAAGGAACTGTTAATGCTTCAGCATACCGAAACATTTTGGACAATTTCATGCTCCCAGCTTTGTGGAAACAGTTTGGGAATGGCCCCTTTCTGTTCCAACAGGACTGCGCACCAGTACACAAAGCAAGGTCCATAAAGACATGGATGAGCGAGTTTGGTGTGGAGAACTAGACTGGTCTGCACGGTCCTGACCCCAACCCGATAGAACACCTTTGGGATGAATTAGAGCGGAGAGTGCGAGCCAGGCCTTCTCATCCAACATCTGTCCCTGACCTCACAAATGCTCTTCTAGAAGAATGGTCCAAAAGTCCCATGAACACACACACACAGCTGATTACCAGTTTTAGAACAGTATTTTGACGTTTTTTAAAAGGAAAATCTAGTACTTGCCGGTGTTGTATCGTATTTTTTTTTACAATATATTGATTACATTAACAAGATTTTTATGTAAAATTACATAATAAAACTCAATTAAAAGCAGCAGTCTACTATACATTTTAAGCTTGATTATTTGTATTATAGCAGTGTTCAACTATATTTAAAGGTAATTTAATTGTTTTTACAGGTGTATATGTTCTTAAAAGCCCCCAATTGCGCAAGTTTTTATGTAAAATTAAAGTTACAGACTGTATTGTCATTATGGAATATTACTGTATTTTTACGAGTTGGTTATTTACTGTTATTTTATGGTATTTTTCTGGTGCCCCAGCTGCCGGAATATTGTGTTTATTCACAATTATGTTTTTAACAGTGTAAGCAAATACCTGTGAATCAACAACCTATATGAATACTGCATATTTATGTATGTATGCTTGAGGCAGGCTCTGAACATGCACATTGGACAGTAATACATTAATGCCCAGGGAATGCAAAAAGAGAGGTATTGACTTGCTAGACAAAGCTATAAAACTTGAAAACAGCCCATCTTTGCTTGATGTGACTTAATTGAAGGCCGCTTGTGGCCCACTAAACATTGTTGTCAATCAGGCTTACTAATCATGCACATCAAATTAAAACACAGCCAGTGATCTGGGAGGGGATTTGTAACACTCCACTCCACAATTTCTGCCCCAGACGCTGAACAAAACATTAAGCCACACTGGTGAACAAACAGTTTTTGTACAACAGGATATAATTTCTCATCTGTGAAAAAAAAATGCAGAATAATATGTTAATAAGCCCCCCATGTTAATTTGCAGTGGAGGAGGGAAAGCAAACTGAGCCTTGGTGATTTCTTCTATCAGACTCAGTTTAATGTGGTTGCTGCTGAGCCAATTCTTTATTCTTCCATTAAAACTCTGATACTGTGGTGTTATTACTTCTTTTTATAGCCGCAGGTTCCCTCTGTATCTTCAGGCTTAGCCCTGAACACCCAGGGGGACATTCCGATTGGTCCTGTTCAGGTGCAATTTCCTGCCTCTCTATAAGTGAGAAATGGGGCCTGTGTTTGTTGCACAGCCCAAATCATTCCATCTCATCCACAGATTGGTGTTTTTGCCACAGAAGGGGAAAAAAACATGTTGTTGGGTATTTCTCTTCTCCTAAAACACTGCATAGATTAATTGATGAAACGACCTAGACTTTCATGTGATGGGATAGATAATGGGCGGAAAACACACCCTACTGACTCAGGGAGCACAAACATTACAGATATACTGTAACAATTTTCCCCTGATGCATTAGATTATGAGCCTTAATTGCAAGAAAAAGAAAAAACTTTAATAAGAAACAATGACAAGCCTGCACGCAGGTTCAGCTTTGTATTATCATCAAAAGTGTTCTGAACAAGACTCCCACAATTCCTCTTTCTCATTAGACACCTGCCACCACTGTTGCAAGACAGCTGTGTAGTATGCACTCAGTAGGAAATGACAGTAGAGCCAACTATATCAGACACAGTAAACCAACCTGCCCTGACCCTTAAAAGATCACTATTAACAGCAGATGGCCGGCCCCCAGGATGTTGTTTTCCGTTGGCAGGGATTCCTCACTGTCACCTTTTTATCACCTCATTGTCACAGTCTGATTCTCAGTATCCAGTTGACAGATGAGCTTCCTCAGAGGCTGCACTCGCTATCTCAGAGTTCCACAAGACAGTCTTCCCAATCCACCGCCGAAATATCTGGGCTCCTCAGAGAAAGACTGCAGCGGCTCGGGCTGGTTGTCACTTCTCTCCCCGCTTTCACTGAGGTGACAAGGAGATGTCAGATGGGCCGACAACTGGAGCATATGAAAGCTTTGGCGCTGACAAGGCTTGTCACTTTTGCCAAGGATGGGACAGAGAAGAAACGCAAACAACTTTATTCCCCATCTTTTGGGAACACTTCACTCCAAATAAACACAATGCGAAGTCCACAAATTTGACAGTCCTAAAAATCCAATATAGGACTTCAGGGTCTGGGAGTGGAAAGGAATACTGGTTAGACAATAAAGGAAAGTGACAGAAAGTGAAACGTTTGCCCTTGTGTGTCTTATCGCAACCTCTCATCGCTCACATCTCATCATTCAGAACATTTATTAACACTGTCAAACAAAATGTTGTACGAATTGTTTGTTTCCAGCATACTCCGGCTTTAAGTAAAGTACTCCAGGTGCCCCTCTCCCTACCCACTTCATCCAGCATGTTCCTGGTGGATCCCAAAATGTTCTTAGGCCAGATATCTGTCCAGCATGCTCCTCCCAGGTGGACATGCCTGGAATACCCTTACAAGGAGGTGTCAAGAAAGAATGCTAAGCAGATGC